CCYKSCYTKGSMRGRRGRTWGGACTGGATGATYTCCAGAGGTCCTCCCAACCCTAAMYATTTRTTATGATCAAATTAGTAAAGKTTCTTAGAAATACTTCTGCCYSAATTAAGGTGCAAACWAGACYATATGCCAGTCAATAGTATGGRTTTTATTTGATAGCAAATATGAGAGGGARAGAGGAGAAAAGARAGAAAGGGAGAAGWAAGAAAAGAGGTGGGGTGGACAGTGACAGAATAAGGAAAATATCACTCTCTGTGGATCCTAAYGATGTTGTGTTGATCCTCTCYAGSTGGTTTTCTTGGTGGTGATGGTCCCCACAAGAAYGCACAGAATCCCACAGGTTRATATAGCTCAGGCAGGTGGCAATGTCCAGGCATGTCCTCCCAGGGCAGGGGGACAGTCCCTTGCAGCAGACTGAATCGGTTGCATCCTGTGGTGCTCAGCTTCAGGGGAGCACTCTGGGGAGTTTTTGATGGATTATGACACTCCCTCAGYTGTTTTTCACCTGAATGTCCTGTGGATGTGGCCTGTGGGGCTAGTCTGTGTAATTTCTTCTCCATGCTCTCTGTTTCGGGGGAAGGGGTGGGGACAGTATGTGGCTTTGAGCTGTGGCCTCCCCCACCCCAAATTTAGCCAGGGAGCAATCTCTGCTGCTTTTGTGTGGATGCATTTTTTTCTCTCAGCCTGAGATAACTGAACAATAGGTTTCTTGGCAGTTGAAAGTCCTAATCAGGTATTTCAAGGAAGCCTCCTTTTGGTCGTAGTTTCTTTCGTATCAATGTTTGAGGCATGAATTATTTCAGTCTCTGACACCATTCTGTGGCTCTGTAACTTTGGTGCTCTGAAATGCCTTACAAAGTAATCTCTTCCCTACACCGACTGTAGGGAAGGGAAGGAGCCTGGTGCTAATGGAAGCTTTCATGAATCCCCACRCTGATGACACAGTATGCAGCAAGACCACAACACACAGAGCTCTCTGGTCCTTCATGCTGCACAAAACAACACAGAAATCTTAAACAGAAGAAAATTTGAAGTGTTACAGTTGTCACAAAACCTAATATTTTAGTATGTTAAAATTAAAATCACCTAATGTCCTCTGTGAATCTGGTARTAACAGGCAAGTATTACATTACTCAACCCTGGTCTCCACTACAATGCACTAAAACACATTARAAAGAGTGGAAAAAGCGACCATCTTCACAGCTGCTGGAGAGGTATGTGCTAAAGTGAATGGATTTATGCTCCTGACAGTCAAGTCAGTTGACAGATTTTACATGATAGCAGAATCAGGTTGGTAGTGATTACTTTATACACAGCAAGCAGGTAGAAAGAGGTGCTACTTTTTTTTTTCATGCATAGTTTCACCAGCTTACAGCCAGCTCATCTCCATTCAGACTAGAGATGCATGATCCACCATTTGGTATCAGCCAAACTACCAGCAAATATATTTCCAGTGCAAACGAAATTGTCTTTCTTCAAGAAAARCAACTAAATTTAATGCTACTTCTCGAAAAACAATGCTTATGCKGCATCATTTTCTACCCATTTTGGTCTGCRTTTCTGAAGTTTCCTTCCTCTTCCCAAATCACATCCAAAGACAGATGATCACAGTACGCTGTTTTTTTTAGGCAAATGACTGTCTCTTCCCCAAAACAAATTATACTGCTCACTGAAGATCATCCCTGAGAGCACTGTTCTAGCTACACACTTAGACAGCAAGATATACCTCAGAGCTTAGAGGAAAAAAAGGCTGTTTGCCCTGTGAAATCTTGTGGTTTCAGAAAGTAAAAAAATTCAGCTACTTCGAGCATTTAATTTCCCTGAGCTGAGTGAAATTTGAAGACAGTAATTTGTAACATGAAGCATAGCAACATCTACAGCTGTACTTACAGGAGCTGCAATTTTTTACAGTGCTRAAGTCAGACGTTACACTACAAGCACACAGCAGTTAGTGGTGGTTCCTTTCACTTGCTTCCTGCCACAGGAAATGTGTTGGYTTCTTTGGTGAGAAACAGCTGTGAAGAAGCTCCACGACTTCAGATTCATTTGCCATCTGATCTTTCAACAACCTTTAAGTTAGTGGRGATACCACCAAGCCATAGTGCAGTACAAGTAGACCATCCTAGAGAGAAGAAAAAGAAATTGTATCATCATAGCACTTCCCCTTCCTGGTACAACAATTGCTGCATGGCAGGACCCCAGGTACAATCTCACCATTTTATACCATGTCCCTTATGTATGGACAATGCAAGTTTTGAAATATCGAGGCAAGTAGGTGACTAGCATAAATTTTTGCATGGCAGCATTTGCCAATATGAAGAGAGAAGCCTGATTGTCCTCACTTCTTTTCAGATAGGACAGGTTCTAAGAGGTTACTCGGGAACCTCTGGCTCATAAAAATGTTGCTAYACCTTCCCAAAGATGCTTATTCCTTGTGCCCATTAGCTCCTTCAATAGAGAAAATAAGACACATTCAAAGCTTYATTTTTTGGCAAAAAATTGTGGTCAAACCCAGTTTTTTATCCACAGCAGTTTCTCAAAGAGATATTTATACAAGAAGATAATGCAACAATGTATTATCTGATGAACAGTTTTCAAATGGCACATTTGGTAGCAGGACATTTAAAGGAAATACCCCTGTTAACCCAAAGGACAAATCCACTGCAAGTCCTTCTCTACAAACAGAAGCTGAGAGTTACTCCAGTACTGGCACTTCTTACTCAGTAATTACTCACCTCCAAAGTATTACACATTTCTATGCTCAGCTGCTTTCTCTAGATACTGTTATTAAAAGWAAGACTAAATGGAGAATGAGCTCTCACTGTTCATTACAAATCTCAAGGCTAACTCAGGCAGGCACAGAAAAAAAGCAAAGCTCTCCAGTGTCCTTTGACACACATTTGTGACCCTGATCCAAAAAAACTGAAAAGGATCCCACCTGTTACACCAAACTGAGTGTGTAGAGTGTCTTAGAGTGGAGCTGACAGACCCAAAGATTAGAGTACACAACCCTTTTGACGCTCTAAGGGCAGCAACAGAAAGTGCTCACTTCCCGAATTCAATAACCCCACAGCRAAGAGTAAAACACTTGGACAGGAAATATGTGCTAGAAGGTCACAGTAATTAAATCAGAGCACAGGCTCTTGCTACCTAGCTCAGGAGACCAAAAAAYAGCACAATAGCATTGGGTTACAAAAAGGTGACAGCTACAAAGAGACCATKATCATCTGCCAAACCTCTGTGCCAAGGGCCAAGGACATCGAGGAAGCTGCTCCTTTTAGCTTTTCCCATGTGTGAGCTCATTATATCCAGCAGTGATGCAGAACTCTGAGAAAGCCCAGTTTTAGACAAGTGAAAATAMCCAGCAGCTTGGACCGGGTTGCATTTGTGCAGCAGAGGGGTGGAAGGTAATACAGGGAASAAGTTACACTCCCATTTAGTTAATAACAAGCTTCCTTTCTCAGCTACTTATCAAACTCTTAATTACAGGCGAAAATCAATGCCTGGTAACAAAATTGACCCTTCAAAAGTTTCTGTAAGTGTCTTTTATCACTCCTTGCAGTAAATTCCTCAAGTTTTACACTGTTAAAAAAAAAAAAAAGCAAAGCTGTTTCTTATTATATAAATTCTGTCTGTGAGTTTTTTATAGTTTTGCCCTTAACAGAGCGAGAAATCCTACTTTCAGCTAATTAGGAAGATTTAACCAACCACCCAATTTCAGAAATGTCAAAATATCTTGACATCTACAAGATTAATTCCTGATTTTTTTTCAGCCTTCTGTCAACTACTCAGAAATGAACATGTCAATTGCTTACATTCAACCACTAAAATTAGTTGCCTATTTACTCCAATTAAAACAACCCAAACAAGTTACTATGGGGCCAGTATCAGGAATATTTATTTTATCATCAGATTACACTTGATCTTCCCACACTTGTTTGAATGTCAGAAATGTATCCTGAAGAGCTAAAATCCTGCTAGCTTGCACCTCCAGGAGACATTAATTTGCTCAGGCTCTAAGGCATCACTACACACTGCTAGGCAGTAGGAAAAAAAAAATACAACATCCAAAATCTTCACAAACAAATCTTAAGAACCATTCAGTGCAAGTAAAAGCCACTAAAACCTCCCCACAGAAAAATAAATCACACACAACATATGTTATAATGCACTGCAAATGCTACCAAAGAATGCATGTTAAAATTAATTTGTCAAAGAGAAACTTATCTCCATTTTTATAATTACTTTTCCCAGCAAAAAGAATAATTGTTGGCATGAATGAACTTACAAGTGAAAAATGTAATTCAGAATAGCAGCTATTTTCCTCCTCTAACAGTGGTTGCACTCATCTAAATAAAAGAGTCCAATGTTTATTCTTTTAAATGACTTTCTGTTGCAGAAGTAGCTACTGAGGCTGTTTTCTTTGCATAAAGCATCTATAATGAACCTCAGAAACCTGTAAATAACAACAGCATTTTTGAACAGTGCCTCAGCATCCTGGTGAGCACTGTTAGGGACATTCCAAGCTCCAACACTGATTTGGAAAGACTGGAAAGTTACAAAGRCACAAGATGCCCTTGGAGTTTAATATAAAATTCATCAAATGCCCCTCTGTACTTGTAGTTTCACTGGCCAGGACAACTGTGCTCCTTACTGAATTTCAGATCCTGGTGAGAAACAAACAACCCTCACCATTTTAACATTTTAGACTTGACCTATCCTCTGGGTTTTTTTTTAATGGGTAATAATCTAAAAATATTTCCCAAGGTTTTTTAATCCTAGAAATGTATCCCTTTGATTTTTGAAAAATAATAATTAGGCCAAAGAACATGAAAATGTCAAAATTACTTCAATATCAAAAGAAAAGCAACATTCCTACTGTAACTACTTGGCAGCCTAAGAGTTTTTCTAACAAAATGAGAAATTAAGGATGAACCTGATCTTTCAAATTCGCTGTTGAAAGTGACTGTGAAAGAACAAGACTTCGCAAAAAGGCAAGGGTTTTTTTTCCATTTGTTTGTTCAATAGAGAAGCCTTGAGAGAATTAACTGCTAGCATACTGATTTGGTAATAAATGAGACTTGAAACATCACTGGAGAATGCAYCCCAAGACAACTGTTCTCTTTGTGGAGCTGCTGACTGGTACTTTATCACTAAACATCAATCAGGCAGACCCAATTCTGACAAGAAAATGAAACTGATGCAGAATTTCTTGAAATGCTTCCCTAAGAGCATTTCTCATATATGAAAAGCTTTCAWGCTAAGCACAACCATCTATGTGACTTGACCCCTGGACTCAGAAATGTATCATCCCCCTGCCATTTGCTGAAGCTTTYAGTAGAGAGCACTTCCATCCCTATGTGCTGATTGCTGAACTTACAATAAATCATAASATTAGAAACAAGTTTGTTACTAGTATCCACTTCCTCCCAGTTTCTATGCCCCTGCTCCCCAAACTGGGTTAGGTTATGTTTTCATTTCTTCTTCATGCTATTATAAAACAGCTAAAATATCAGGTGTGGCTATTATTTATCAAAGGGAATTGAGCCTCACAGACTTTTAATGTCTGCCAGTATTAACATGAGCCAAATACCTCTGCCTCAACTCTGGAACCCCTCTTAGTGATTCAAATCAGGTAGAGGTGATGGAAAGTCCAAGTTATCTCAAAATCAGCTTTTCACTTCCTGCCCCTAACAGAAGCCTTCCTGTAGCATAAGAGAGCGCAGCAGGAATTTTGTAAAGGTAAAATGTAAAGGTTTGTGCATGTGTGTGCAAAAACAAGCAAGGACAGGTGATTTAGCTACTATGTTAGCTCTTCTGCTATCTGCTAAGATTGCTTCCAAATAAAATATCCATCTAATCCTTTTTCTTCCCACTGTATTAAATACTAACTTTTCAGACTTACAAGTTTAGATTAACGTACAGGTCACCATAGATCACAATTTTACTTCTCTCTCTTACTATGCACTTGGCAGAGTACTTCACCATTTTTGCAGCACTTCTAAAATGGTGTGGTCCTTTAAAGATGCTTTGAAAAGATTCACATCATTTTAAAAATGCACCCTTGTTTGTAAAGTCAGCAACATTAAAGACAGCAAGTTATCGACAAGAAATAGCTGGTCATAGTCCTGCTGTGACCAGAACCAATACAGTACACATCAAGCACATTCACTGCATTCATTACCCTCCATCTTTGTGTTTTTATGTGCAAGTTTATTCTCCTGACCCAGTCAGAAGGGATTTTGGGATTTGTCCTCCAATTTCCTGCAGAGATTTAATTGCCAGAGAGGAAAACCAAGTAATTGAAAGAATGGCTGGTACAATTTATCACTGGTAAGATAGCAACTTGTTTTGAGGGGAAAAAACCCCCCCAAAAAAAACCAAAACCCATCACAAATGTCTCACATCAGGAAATAACCAAGAACATGGTACACTTGTCAGCTCTACTTACAAGATAAAAATGGTTTTACATAAGATGGACAGATATTCTGAGAGACTTCTTCAGGCAAGCTGGTGCTACCYGAGAGCTTAAGAGAGAAATCTTCTGTTTTGCAACAGAAGACTGGAACAAAGCCCCAGCTGCCACACCTACCTGTACTGCACTCTCTCCTATGACTTGACGGATTTCCCTCAGTGTCTGGTAGTGCTCTAGCAGGTGATCACCACAGATTATGTCCACCTGTGAAAAAACACAAACATGGTCAAGTCCAACTTACTTTTGGAGCTGCAAAACAGTACCCAAGCAAATTCTATTAGCAGAGTTCAGTTCTAGCATGTTAGACACTAAACCCAGCTTTACCTTTATTGTCCAAATGTATTTAGCATTCACAACACTACTGCCCTGCCCTAATTCCTCTCATGATCCTGACCTGGGCTCACGGCTGAACAGAGAGRACAGTTTATTGTTTCACTCAGTTTGGTGTGTCCACTGAAACAGGCTATTCAATAATAGCTGCGATGAATTTAATGGGAATTTGGGTCATGTATTAAAATGATCCCACAAACATCAAAATGATCCCACAAAAGTCATTCATCAGCTGCAAAAGAGGCAAACTTTGTGCCARTAACAAAAAATGAGCCATTGGCACCCCCCTTCTTATCTTGAATGAGAAAATACGTGACTAATTCCACTTAATGCAGCTGTTTGTAAGAAGTGTCTTAAYAGAAAAGAGCATCTTGGTGCATGCCTTTGTCAGCAGTTACATCACAGTTCTCCTTCTGCATGCACTCAGTCAGTATTCCTGGGATGCTGCTGCAGGGCATACYCAGCAGCTCCACACATTGTTCTCTACTGCAGCTGCACTCTGTCAGTGGTGCCTGCAATTCTGCAGGAGGCACTTTTGTTTAGTTATTGCACACAAAACCACAAACCCTAATCAGGTATTTTGAATTCCTTGCCTTGGCTGTTATGAAAAATAGGCTTCTCTCTAAAGTTACCATTGATTTACTGAGCATAATGTAAATCCAGTGTCTAAAATTCCAAATTAGAGCAGCTAACACAGCACTGTTTCTCTCTCAACTGCAGCTTGCTTACATTTTCCTTGTGAGAAATTTCTAGACAAGGAAATGAGAATGCTCTCATTTGTGAATTGACAAAACATCAAAACTGAAGAGCATTGACAATGAGCTGTCCCACAGCTTCCTGCAAGGGAACTGCCCAAGCTCTGCCCCTGCAGCAGTGGGGGAGCACACTGCAATATCATGACGTTATTGTCTAATACAGCCACTTGCCACTATAGGATGCACTCCGTGCTGCAGTTATTCCACTCCCCCAGATTTATCTTCTTCTGCAAGCTGACCCACTATCTCTGTCTCATTCTTCATGAAAAGATTTAGTAAGATTTATGTTGGCAGACCACGCTCTGAGACTTAGGAAAGTGGGAATTCTACTCTTCAGAGACTCAAAAAGGACTGATTTACTGCACTGTCTGTATTGTATAAGAATGATACAGAATATTGTCTAAATGTTTGATTCTTAATGTACAGAAGACGTAAACTGCTTAGTAGTACTTCTGCTTTTAGCTTCTAGGAGGAAACCAGGGAATAAAAATTTGGGTGGACATAACATACAACATTGATCCATATTTACTCACACGCATACACAGTTAACATCAACATGTGATGTATTCAACACAGCATTTAAAATGTTGTATTTCTTTTTATTTTGGAATACTGTCTGCAATTATTTCTGCTATCTTCCACACATTCCAACCTCTACATTTATTACTGCAGGAAGACAGACATGACTGCTTTGCCTTCCAGTGACATGAGTTTAATTACTTAGCTTTATAAGATTAATTCTATAATTTTTGTACCATAAGGCACTGAAAACTCAATCCTGCTCCCACTGAAACATAAATACATATTTTATGTATTCTACAGAAATAGAAAATCTAATCTGTTTGACCAAGAMAGGATGCAAACAGACAGTCACAGATGCTGACAATCTCTCAAAACAAAATTAGAATGCTCATTTGAAAGTATCCCACTGTTGTACCTGCTGCTCCAGTTTCAAAAGGTAGTCATTAAAGAATCAGTGCCTAATAATAAATTGAGAAGAGTTTCTCACRTTTACTGTATTAGAATTCTCTGAATACCAAATACCTAATCTCCTAATTCCAGCATCAAGGCCTGAAATTCCACCTGTTAATTGTTATGCTAGGGTTCATTCCGTAAGGACAAGAGAATAAAACATAAAATGGAAAAAAAATTCCAGGTCAGTGTGGATAGAAGTTGTGAAATTTGACTCAGAGAAATCCTTGTGTCATTCAGGAATGATTATGYTCTATTACAAAAGAGGCACCAGCACCACAAGGGCAATGAATTTACTAAAATTTCAAATGACTGGTAAAACTGAAGCCAACTAGTACTGATTGCCTGAGACAGCAATAACTGTAGCTTGACATTTTGCTAAAAGGAAGCATGAAGGTGGATCTGCTGAATGCTCAGTCACTTCTGTTAAAATTCTTATTAAAATAAAGTAGGCTTTCCATTATGCCACTTCTTTTCTTTAAGGTGGCATGTCTGCTATTAGAGCTATTTCTCTAAAAGCCACCATAACATACAATTATAAATTCATACTCACTGAGATAGAAATAGAAAAAGTTCATGTAAGGGACACCTCACATAAGACTCATCCCAAGGGAGAATCTGGCCTAGAAACACTAGACTTCAATCAATAGCTTCTATCTAGTTTCTTCAACTCATACTACCCAGGGAAGGACAAAGAAAACACAAAGTTTTAGAGACTGACATGAGTATTTGGGTTAATTATTCAAAAAGCTGTCAGAATTTTTTGTTTCCTCTAACTGCTGTTTACTTTCCAAAGGCCCTGGATGCTTTTATTCCAGAGTCTAAGACTGGCATATAAAAAATTGCACCAACAATTATACTTCACGAGCACAGACTTCCTTTCTTCCCATCTCCCCCAGGCTGCAGYTCACACACACATTCTCAGGAATGTACATCTGGCTATGGAACTTTTCTGTTCCACCAGCTACATTAATGAATTCCAAGCAGCTGAGCTGCAAGTTTTTCAGCAGTTTCTCTCATCCTTACAGAAAGAATAACAAGATGGAATACTTCTGCTGCAGGAGGACCTCAAAGGAGATCACACTCTAAAGAGATGTCAAAGAACCTACTGAGTTCCAAATACCACATCATGTATTTAGCTCATATTAAATGTTACCTGCTTAGCTATTACTGGCAATTCCAGTTTCCAAAAAATTATTTTCACCCTCTTCCAACAAATTAAAGCAAGAATATACAAGAGACACCTTGTAATTAGAAGTGTACATAAATTCATATAGAAAATTAACTGTTGCCCAAAAGCACAGAGTTCAGAACGAAGYATCAGAAAGAGTAAACTACTGTCTGCCAGCTCAAGGGGTAGATAAAAATAAAGGAAGACTTAACCTTCAGATAAACTAGAAAATTTAAATCATAATCCATCTGCAAATGCAAATACAGAAGCCTGAAAGTAATTTGAATCCTCAGAGTASGAGAAAAAGAACAAAAGCAGTGGCTTCAAAACTGCTTTTTAGACTTTTATATATACTGCCACACACCAGCCAGATGGCTTTTTTAATTTTCATTAACCTAAATTCATTGCACTTGTGCAGGTCAATGAAGAAAGGCAAGTGTTAGCTCATATTCCACATGTAAAAATTAAATCAGACATGTCCAAGCAGAGTCAGAATTTCAGGAGGGTGGGTTATAAACCACCCAACACATAGGCCCAGTTTGATTCTGAAAGATGGATACCTGCAGTTTCCATGACAGATGCTCAGTTCCTGAAAACTAAGATTCTGATGCACCTCTTAAGAAAATCCAAATAAACAAAACAATTCTTTCCCCTCAAATAAACAACTCAATTGATGCAAGAAGTGTCTCCAGCCTCATTTTGAGGATCTTTTTATTTGTTTAGCATATCAAGACACCACCACCTAAAAGCTACAGGCTCTCACTGAGAGGAAACCAGCAAATGRAAATACATTAATTCCTCTACAGGAYGAATAATTTGTATCTGATTTGCTCTGTCACCACTGAAAATGTAAGCAGCATGAATACTSATTACTGAGCCACACAGTCATGCTATGTTATCTTAGACAGTTGCTGCTGCATGAAAACAGCTTCATCTCCAAACCACTACTTAACTTCTAGAATTTGCCTATTCACATCAGCATCAGCCTGATTTTCCACTAAATGTTTTATAAATTATTTACACATTACAGAACCCCTGCACTTTYTCAACTGAATGGCTGCTGAAATACACTGAAGAATTGAAAACTGGTTTTGATGYGCAGTTCCTCTCAAAATGGTTGAGAAATATGAGGGTAAATTCTTTTGTACCATATTCTGCTCATTTGAATCCTTATTTGGAGGAAAGTGTCTGCATTTGCATTCATACCTTTCATTTCAACGCATCCATCCATAGTATAATTTTTTCCTAGCCCTTGTTTACTTTCAGTTAAATTTTACTATTACTCAGCTTGTACCCATCTCTGCTCCCACATTCCCACTTTCCTGCCCAGTTTTACCTTTGAAASAGCAGAATCTCTTGGCTTTTGAATTCCATTGGCTGAAATCTTACACAGCACTTTAGAAATACTGTCCAATTAGTACAGTACTATGAAAATTTGAACAGGTTGCAAATGAGCAAGAAGAATGGTTTTTTACAGATCAAAACATTGCAAAGAATTGATTTTTGAATCCTTATTGTATTAAAAACCKCTAACATTACTTCTACAATCTAATGAGCAATGGAAACCTCTGTCCAAAGCACAGACAACTTGTGACTGCCAAAGCAAGGGACATACCTGGCAGGCAGGGTCTAGATCCATTTTTCTTCTGAGGAATTTCTCCACATGTCCAATTGTTGCCTCTCCAGAAACACGCACAAACTTYTTTTCCAAAGGCTGCACAGAAGRAATAAAGATTTTAAGTTAAATTACGTTAAAGTTTTTGGCACTGATCCCTTGTAAACTCCAAACCCAAGTGATAGCCCAACAACAGAGAAAGACAGCTCACAATTTTGGACCCTTCTCTGATTTATTTGCAGACTACCTCATAGAGAAAAGACTAAATATGTTTTAAGACTCCAGATGATGTATAAAACATTTTAAAATAATCAATAACTGATTAATTTTTACATATTTTAAACATCTGTGTGGCCAAAGAAACCCAGGATAAACAACGAAGCAGAAAGTAGGGCAAATATGAGACAGAAAGGATAGGAGGTGATACTGAAGATGAAAAAATATGATGAAAAAGTACTGTGAAACATAAGGATAAAAAGAAGAAAAAAAATTTAATCACATTTGTACCTTAAAATTCCCTGCGCCTTCATTAGCTCTGAAAAAACAGAAGAGTAAATAGTCAATATTGCTAAGATTAACAGTTATTAATATCCTCATGCTCTTTATTGTAACAGTGACTTACCGGTTTATGAATCTTGCATATCAAACTTATTTTTCCAACTCGGGCTTTTCCTTTCATTAACCTTATACATGAAATAATACCAGACTAAATTTATATATACCTTTCTCCTACCCTTTATTCTTCTGCTCCATTTTTCTTGTGAATTCAGCTATTTATGACATTACAGTTTATCTACATAAAATGTGAATAAAACCCAACACAGCCTAAAACTATTTTTAAACACAGCATTAACACCAATTTTCATAGGAGGAGTTGCAATATTCATGCTGCTTAAACATCCATACTTCATGATCCTTGATATTTGGAACTTCTACAAGCAGTACCTAAGAAGTCGCTGACAGAACACATCCAGCCACCTAAGGGGCTCTGTGGGCCAGATGTTGGCCTTTCAGATAACACACTAATGCTGTTCATATGATAATATTAATGCTAATGCTATCTAGGAACTCAGAAAAGCACCATGTGTCTCTCTGGAATGTGAAGYACACACAGAGATGACAAATGACCAAATTTCCAGCTGGCTTCAGCCAAGGTTCACTGATTTGCACAGCCTAAGAATGTGATCTACCAYTGATCATCTGTATTTCATACCTCATTCTTGTACTGCAATGCATAAATTTCTCAATTAATTAAAGCCAATACATGACATTTCATTATTCTTGCATTGTATTAGCAAGTATGTACATATGAGAGATACAGTCCCACAGATGACCTATGCTATATACTGCAAAGACACAATACAGACAGTCAGACTTTCAAAGTAACAATTTCTTCTGGCTGGTCCAATCTATTCCACATTTTCTTTATCCAAGATGATTTATTCATCTCTTATTGCCCATATAAAATCATTTGATTTTGACCATATAAATTATCAAACAATAGCMAAGTTTTAAAAAGTCACTAAAATAAAATACAAACTAGGTGCTGTCAAGCCATCATCTTTTTTTTATTACATACATTCTGTGCTTCTCTCCACATAAATAATTAAGCCAGGTACATGGATTCACAGTCCAAAGAAAGTTRAAAACGTTAAGTTATTTGAAAGGCGCCAAGAGCCTGTTATGAGCACATCCAGCATTAACAGCACTGCCACCTGCAGGGATCAGGGACTGGAACACACACGCATTTCTCTTCAGTTTACTGAGACTGCACTGTACTTTTACTTTGTAACAACACAAACACATCTACATTTCAAAACTATACTTACTAGGAAGCTACTTTTATAGGAAGACACATCTTAAACATTTAATTATCTGTATCATCTAGCTGTGCACAGCTGGTTGTCACTATTGAATTGTAAGTTAAAACGGGCTCCCAACTGCTATTTGAGATGAACGAAATGCACATTTAATGAAAACCAAGAGCCAGTTAATGGTCCAACAAAAGCCAGCAGCACCCTCATGTYAGCCAGTTGCTCTTACATTTGCCCACAACTTACCCAATAAACTCCAGAAGTATGGAAATGTCAAGTTCTGGTGGGATCCGGAACACTGAGCCCAGAACTTTTCGAGGTCTTCCTCTACTTGGWGGAACTGGCTGTGGGACAGCTAAAATATTCAAGTAGCCAAAATGCAAAGATAACTTGAAATAAAAGTAGCACAAGATACTAACATGAACCAAGCAACACACAATAGCTCATCAGGAAAAAAAGCCCATGCAATTCATTCTCTTTTTTATTACTAAATCAGCTCTTCCTACAATCTATACTGTGTATCTGAACAAGCACTTCAATATCTTTCAGCATACCACTCTCCAAGGAGTTTTGTTTGATAGGAAGACGCAAAATATTTAGAATAATACCCCACTGTTGAGCAGACTTTGAAGCTCTCATTTTGACTCCTTTGTATTGTCTATTCTCTATAAACAACCAGAAAATTAATGCACATTTTACATATATTTCCTAGTTGCAAGTGAAATAGTTTAAAATAATCAAACCATAATCTGGTTTTAAGTGTTGCCAATTAATCTATTTTTGTAATCTGAGATCTGTGACAAGTTAGAATATCCAGATAACTAAGAATGCCATACTTCCAATACTACTTCCATCTTTAATTGTAAGCTAATATTTTAAAGAAAGCTCTTAACATTAAATTATAGTTTATCATTATCAGTATTTCCTTAACAATGTTCCCTAAAATGATTATAGCTCACCTGGTTTGGGCACTTCTAATCCTCTTTCTTTATAGAAATCATGCATTTGCTTTTTCTCTCCTGAAAAAAAATGCACAAGACAGCTTGAAATGAGATGCTGAGAATATCCATTCTCATTGACCAATTTTCAATGGTCAGAGCAGTAAAAACTTTCCAAGTTTCTGCAGACCTTCACCATCACTAGTATTTCATACAGGGCTGAGACACTTAAATTTTTTTAGTAAAAACTGGGAGGAAACCAGAGMAACTGAACATAAATAATACTGAAATAGCTGCAAGAACTAGTATCCTTCTGGCTGTCATGGCTCATGCTATATATATAAATATAGCATAGAATATTTTTATTCTATGCTCTATTTATATATACACATTTTTAAATATACATATACTTTCATGGTATAAAAGGAAATACCATCTATAGTCCCTACATATCCAATAGATTGTATATTTCACTCAGTCCACCCAGGTGGACTGTGCAGATTCATTGGCTCCAAAGTTGAAGATAAATGAGATGAGACAGTGAATACATCTAAAATCAGACAAATAAATATGGCAATGAGGAAAAAATAACAGCATTTGAGAGAATCAGTTTTAGCAACTTTTTTTCAGCTGAGCCAAGTGAATGTTTTAGAATATGATTTAGTTCTACAAAAGTAAGAGGAGTGATTATGAAATATTATCTGGATGTTTATCTGGATACAWTGACAGCAGTGTTTCATGAGACAGGGTACTCACCACTACCCAKAATAGCATTTAGCAGCCAGAAAGATGCCAGTTGTCATAATTAATTCATTACAACTTATAACAAAATATCACAAAACTATTTTAGAGCCAGAGAAACAAAGTTTTGAATTACTCTGTTTTCTTATTTTCAATCTCTAAATAGTAATATGATAAAGAAAAGGACTTACTTTCCTCCAGATTGACAACTAAYTTATAGACTATGTCTTGCAGTTGTCGGTCCAGTCTATGAAATAGAAAAGAAGAAAAAGAGAGTCTTTGGGGCAACACAAAACAGTTTAATGAAACTGTGACACAGTTTCACAACATTGAAATGKGATGAACATACAGTGACAGAACAGCAACTCCACATCTCTCTAAATACTCATCCTTACAACAGAGCTCCAACAGAAGCCATGCAAAGTTTAAAGCGCCACCCTTCATGAACAGCTGAAGCAACAAGAACTCAATTTTTTGAGGTAATAAATATACAATGCCAACAAGGCTTCACTTTAAAAGGAAATCAAAGCAAACAGTTAAGTGCTTGTATTACCTGTAACACTGAGCAAATGCATAAAATACCCAGGGCATGGGTAACAAACCCTAGAAATTGACACAAACTAGATATAACAAGAGTTTTTAAATCTTAATGATTGTGATGAAACTCAGGCTAATGAAGAACACAATGTGTTTCTTGTAACCATTCCTTCATTTCAAATAGCAAAGCACAAGTCTATAAAAAAGTTTAGTCTATTTAAAAGCAAGTAGCAAAACTCTAAAAATGGAACAAACTTATTACCTGATATTATAAAGAGGCTGTGTYTGATGTACAACAATATTGCACTTTGGACATCTGTTGCTATAGTAGAAGTGCCTCACGATGCAGCTTTTACAAACTGTAAAGAAAAGAAACCCCATAGAAGTCACRTGTCCATTATACAGTGTCATCTCTTAAAGCAAAAGGGATAAATACAGCCAGATTTCCCCCCAAAAACGTGTCAGGGATAAAATGAAGTCACTGAACACTCCTAATCCAATGGATGCATGGGGAGTGTTCAATGTGTATACAGAACACGAGTAGAGCTAAGGCAGAACATTGACTGAAAAGCACCCTACAGTTTCAGTAGAAACAAGGTAAGAAATCATAACTCTGCCATTTTCATTGTGTTTTACAAGTYCTTTAAAAATCTGGAAGGAAAGCTACTGAGCGAAAATATCATGAATAAAAAACCTACTATCAAATCAGCTTCCTATCAGCTCCCTATCAGGAAATTTTTCCATAGCATTTAACAGGAAAGCTCTAAGACACCACCACAGTTGCATTTGCAACATTATGCTCTCCTCACTAGCAGTTATGCCTCTTCCTAAATTGCAAACTGTGCTGAATACTTCGTGGTATAGACCAAACCAGTGAGCAGTGCCCCAAAAAAGGGAAAAAAAACCAAAACAAAAAAAACAGAAAGAGCGAGAGAAAGGAGGATTTTTCCCTCTATGCAGTTATGAGTGGTTAGGAAGTCTAGTAAACCAGGATTCTTGGATTCAGGCAGGAACATGAGTGTCACAGAAAGAGTCAGTTTCACAGAAAGGGTYTTAATAGTCTTGAGAGAAAACTATTCTGTTAGCACTGGAAAAACTAGCACTAGGATTGAGGGGAAAAAATAACAAGACAAGCACAATTAAATCAGKTTTTTTTATTACCCACCTATTTTCATTAATCAGATTATGGACAAACTGTCGCATGGGTGCAGACCACTGTCTCTGTATCTGAACTTCCACACAGGTGCTTAGTGTTTTGTGAATTTACAAGCTCACACCAACAACAGCTTAGGAAACTTTCTAGTCCATTAAAAGCAGAGCCACTCAACTTTCTTTTCTCAGTTATACACTCAAATTCCCAGAGCCTACTTAAAAAAAAAAAAAAAAGAAAATGTATGTAGTAGCTCTAATTTTGTCTTGCTTGGGCTTTATCGTTTCTTCTTCCTTCTTAATATAGAAAGCTGACTTCATGATTGATAGATTTCATCATTTTCTGATGCTTAAAATACCCACGAATACATCTCGCTTAAGAAACAGAATAAACAAAACACACATTCTCTTCAAACACAGAATTATTTCCCTGAACTCAACATCTCAACAGCTGAATTTGTTTAAATTTGCAACTAAACCCTTAGACAGACAATACTGACAGATACTTACAGGTGTGCAGACATTCTGTAATAGTTGTAGCATCAATAAAGTAACCTTTGCAGATGGAACACAGGATGTAGGGGTTCAGCTCTGCGAGGTTTATCATACGCTGCAAACAAAGACAATTGGTATGAGTCTGAATACACAGGCTAAGTCATTAAATCCCCTGACTGCATCTTCCAAARTACCATAGCCTTAAACCCATGGAAAAAAACAGGATCAATATGCTACAGGAATGGGTTTTCCTAACAGATCAGTCACTCCCCATACACAGCTATTTTCTAAAGATTTTTAGCTAGCCTYTAAAATTGACCTTTTTGACAACAGSRATYCAACTTGTTTCATWAATCATACTTAAAAAAGAACACTAAACAATCATTTGGGAAAAGTTCTTTTGGATAAACTGTTTTAACAAAAAACATATAGTCAGCAAGCTTGAAGYGGATAGTAGTGGCAAACAACATAATTACTTGAAAATGCTCAGCAAWTATGTTGGGGTCCCAAATCAAGACATAAAGAAAATCTGTATGACAAGAGACAGTCATCTCTTGTTTCTACTCATAGTTAGGGATTATACAAATACACATTAAAGCAAACACYGGAATTTCACTGCTTTGAATTCTGGTCTTGAAACATACTTATCAGAAACGCACACAAGTAGTTTCACAACAGCTTTCTTGGCTGAATAATATTATTTCAAAAAAGAATAAACTTCTTTAGTAACGAAGATGTGTCTGAAAGAGGTGACACATTAGATCCTTGCATTCAGTTTCCTCTTGTTCCAAAGGCCAACTAAAGGGGTTTCTTTCCCTCAATAACACCATTCATTTCGCCCACGTGCCACCGTCTACCACCCTCTCAGCCACGAGGAGAGTTTGTAAAAGCTTCACTTACATGAGACAGATGACGTGAACTCGGGTAATACTAAATTAAATATTAAAATAAATAACAACAAAAAAAAAAAGTAAAAATAATGAAAAGCCCATTACCACACGCGGGGCACGCCGGGAGCGGGGCCTGCTGTGCCCCGGGCACCCTCCCGCCCCCTTTACCTCCCGGTCATCGTCCGAGTCGAGYTCCCCGTCATCCGTCCCGAACCGAGCCCCGGTGTCGCCCTCCATCTCCTCCTCCTCCACCTCCTCTTCCTCGTCGTCTTCGTCGTCGTCGTCCTCATCGCCGCTGGACTCCGAGCGACCCCGCTCGAACTCGAAGGGGAGGGAGCGCGACCCCGAGCAGCTGGGGGCCCCCTCCATGTCCCGGTCCTCATCGGCCGGGCCCGGGCCCTGGGCTGCGCCCGCTCCATCCCCGCCCGGCAGCGCCGGGACCCCGGATCCGCCGTCTCCCTCCATGTCCACGGACCGGGGCTGGCGCGGGTCGGTCCGCGGCCCGAYGCGCATGCGTGCAACGCCGCGGGGCACGCTGGGAAATAGAGTTCTAAGGGACGCGTGGCTGTGCCAGCGCACACACYGAGCCACGAACGGTTTATTGTTTTTATCGCCCACGGCTTTTTTTCTTAATTTTTTTTTTTCCAAGTGACTCGCTAATAAACGCTTAATTTTCCCCGAAATAATCTCAATCACACAATACTAATTTCATTCAAAATTAGGTTTTAATTCTGTTAACATAATTAAAATGTTTAGGTTGGAAGGGACCTCAGAGGTCATGTAGCTCCAACCGCCTTGCCGTGGGCACGGACGCCTTCCACTAGACCGAGTTGCCCAAAGCCCCATCCAACCTGTCCTGGCACACTTCCAGGATGGGACATCCATAGCTTCTCTGGGCAACCTGTGTCAGTGCCTCACCACTCTCATGGTAAAGACGTTCTTCCTAATATCTAATCTAAACCTACACTCTGTCAGTTTAAAGCCATTCTCCCTTGTCCTGCCATTATATGCCCTTGTCCAAAGCCTCTCCAGCTCTCTTGTAGCCCCTTTAGGTACTGGAAGGCGCTCTAAGTTCTCCCTGGAGCCTTTTTTAACTCCAAGCTGAACACCCCCAGCTCTCAGCCTTTCGACGAGTATCAAAGAATCTCTGTTTAACAGACACGAATGAAAGAATCAGTATTAGAAATACCTGGACAACTCAGCGGCCCAGCCGTAGTTAACTTAATTGTGCACACAGCCCCTAAGGGCATACAGGGCACACAGTCCCGTGCCATCCTTGGTTTACTTTAGGGAGCTCTGTGTCCCCCGCAGTGCCCAC